GTGCTTAGTTTCTACGCAAATGAAAAAAAAAATTAAATCAATAAAATCATTTTAAATAACTTTAGATGGAAAGTGACAACTTATTAATTACCTATAATTCAGGGTCATTTTGAGATGCCACAAACTATCTCCAAATGTCTTCATTAAGAAATTTGTACTCTTGAAATGGATCCTGACCTACCTTCGTTCCATTTGTGTGGACATAATTTCTAGTCAGTGTTGACTTGAAATCTTTCTGATGCTCATAAACATTCATTAATCAATGCTTCTTCATCTCAGTGGTAGGAGAAATATCATAAGTTAGCTGTCTAGTAATTAAGTTTTAAGTAAGTTAGAAGTTTAAAAAAATAGTATAAAAATAATAGTATTAAAATTTAATAGTACTTACCAAAATTTTTTGCCATACTTGATCCATAATAGCTTGTGGTACTTGTCTCTAATTTTTATATAGAATACTAATTTTGCTACGAGCTTGAAGGCCAATGAAGTTGATAAATCAATATCCCTCAGTGCCAAGTGGAACCAATTCTGGACTAAGTTCAACATGCAATCTCTCTATAATCCTATGACATACAGCCAACTCTTTCAGCTTTGTAAAGCCTTTACCCCTCTTCTTACCAGGTGAACTAGTGGTATTATCATCTCCTCTAGAACCCTTTGTGTGTGTGTGTGTGTGTTGGAAACAAGGTGAGATTGATTAAAAGAAAGAAAATAAACCAAATAATAAACAAAATAAAAAATTATTACTTTACTCGTTCTCTAAGATTCCTTCATAATGATAATCTCTAATAGTATATTCATTATCTGTCTCATCTACTATACTTGATTGAAATGGATTTATTGTCAAAGGTAAGGTCTCATCAAGATTAAAACTAAGGTCATCATCACTATCTGCTTCAACAGTTTACCTTTTGCCTTGAAGAACAATAGACAACATCTTATTTGTTAGATCAATCATATAAAAAACCTATTTTGCTTGATTTGCTAAAGTAAAGGGCTCATTAGTGTGACCCAACCTATTAAGATCTACTAAGGTAAATCTAGAAATCTTGTCTATTTGGATGCCACTTACCAAGTGAACAATTAAATGCACCATAATATCAAAAAAAGCAGGAGGAAAGTATATCTCTAGTGGGCACAAAATGATATAACCTTTATTTTTCATTTCATCTAACTTATCAGGATTAATAACTTTGTTGCAAATAGAATTAAAGAAACTACAACAGCGTTGTAATTGTATGCCTTACATAATCTTTCAATGTGCCTCAAATAACCACTGGTTATAGTTATTGCATCAATACATGGCAATCATGAGACTTCAAACCTATTAGATTTAAATCTTTTATTGACACAAGATTTCTTACATTAGAAGAATATTCTTAAGGCACTTTAATACCATGTAAACACTCATAGAAGCTTGTTTTCTCCTTTTTCTATAGTATGTGGGCTACACGGGTAGATAAGTCCTCTTTCCTTCTTCTCATCATGCAAATAATTGTTCTCTTATTTCCATCTTGGTTAAATCTAGTCTAGTATTTATCCCATCCTTGTTCTTTCTATCAATGTGCAGAAGTGTGCCCAATTGACTATCACAAATATTTTTCTTCACATGCATTACATCAAGATAATTCCTCACATCAAGACACCGATAATATGAAAGTTCAAAAAAGATAAACCTCTTTTTGTACAGATTCTTCTCACTTGTAGTCTTCTAATTCTTACTAAATATTACATTAATCTTTACTTGTTGTTAAACATGCTGCCCAACTAATGCTGTAGAAGCAAATTTATATTCTTGTGACCCATTAAAAATCCTTTTTCAATCTGTGATAAGGGTGGTACCGACTAAGAAATCTCCTATAACTAAGGTAGACCGTCTTCTTTCCATATTTTAGATGTTGAGAATGAGTGCCTTCTTTACAAATAAAGCATGCTTTATGCCCCTTGAGACTATATATGACAAGTTCCTATATGCATGAAAGTTATTTATCGTGAAAAAATTCATGACACGTAGCTTAAAATAATTATTGGTAAGCATTGAACATATCGACATCCTTATCCTACATCATCTTCAAGTCCTCAATCAAGTGTGTAAAGTACACATCGATATACTTGCATTTCATACACAATGAAAGAGGTAGATTGTAAATTACTAGGAGAATTGGCCACGAACTATATGCGCTACTAAGATTACTAAAAGGGTTAATTCTATCTGTACATAGTCCAAGCCGAAGGTTTCTTAACTCACTACCAAAATTAAAAAACTTTTGATCTATCATTTTTCATTGAGGAGAATCAGTTTGTTGCTAAAGTTTACTATTAGATATTTTTTCATCAAATGCCATCTCAAATTCTTTGTATCCGTGGCACTAGAAAACAAATGCTCAAACTATGGTATTATTTGAAGATACCACAACACTTTTAAAGGTAAGCCTTTAGTCATCTCATTACCATCACCACCGATGTCCTTCTTTATTTTATATTGTAAAGCCCTACATTTCAAACATTTATGTAGCTTTCCATACTCCTTTCTGTGCAATACACATTAAGGCAAGCAAGCATCTTTTTTTATATTGCACACCTACCAAACATAAGATTTTCTTTGCCTTATAGTGACAATTGGGAAGCGTATTATTGTTAGGAAACATATCTACTAGGAATTCAAAGAACCAAGTAAAACTTGTATCGATCCACTTACATTTTGCCTTTAAGTTGACCAAAGACAACACACATGTCAAACTTATATACTTTTTACACCCTAAATACAAAGGCTTCTTTACATTACTCTTCAAGCTTTCAAATGTATGTGCTTATGCAAAGGACTCCATTCCAATATCACAAATCATATTCTCCATCCTATCATCCCAAGCATTTTCACCTGCTTCTTTCTCACGAGACATAGAACTCAATCCTTTAGATTCACCATGTCATATCCATTTTCTTTACCTCAAATTTATCCTATCACAAAGTACATACTTTCTTATTTCATCAATACTTAGTCGACTCCTATTTAAACATTTCACATATGGACAAAAATACAGTCCATTTTTACTAGGAACATTCCTTTTAGCGATTTCAAGAAAATATTCCACCCTACTCTCATACTCTTCACTTGTTCTCCTATCATTCATCTAACTATAGTCCATTGTTTAACTACCTAATTAATATACATAAAAATATTATATTTAAAATTTTCCTAACTTAATTTTAAAAATTTGGTAGAATTTTCCCTTAAAATAGGACCTCCTAAAATTTTAACAAAATTCAAAATCAACTAAAATTTCAACAATAGTGAAATTCAAACTCCTAAGGATAGTTAAACCAAACAATTTATAAACACTTAACAATTTAAAAGAAACAAACACAAAATAATTTCTAAGCACATACATATTTGCTTATCAATTTATCAAGTCTTAAAAAAATTCCAGCAACATTTCCCATTAAAGTTGGACATCCCAAAATTTTAACAATCACCAAATTTTCAATAGCTAACCACAATTGAAAATTAATTATCTATTGCAAATATATATAATAATTCTCTAACGGTAAATTCCACATAAAATCTCAATAGAAAACAAAAATGAAAACTTAAAGCAGAAAAATGAAGTATACAAATACCAAAATTAATTAAAATTTTTGAAATCAATGAAAAAAATAGAAAAAAGAACTAACTTGCATAACTTATCCAAAATCCAAGTATAGGTAGGAATGCAACGACTTGAAGCAACAGTAATGGAGACTCACAAACAACTTATATGAATAAATAGAGAAAACCTATGTACCTACAATGGAGGAGAAGGATAAAAAAATTTAGGAAATAGAGAAAACCCATGAAGTATTTGCAGAAATGGAGAAGAAGAGGAGGGAGACTCACCACAAGAAATGATGAAAAATACTGTTGAGAAACCCATGGTAGTGATGACGTAGGAAATGGTGATGACAACGACAACAATGACAAAAACAATAGCAGTGATGGCAATGATGAACGGCAACTGGTAGAGCATGGTTGGAGACCGCAATAGGTTATGAAGCTTGGAGAGAAAGGAAAGTGAAATAAAAAATGCACAGACAAAAATGAGGGAGTCAAAGAGGTGCTAGATATTTAAGTACAAAACCACGTTAGTTATTTCAAAGAACCAACATAGTTTCAACTTTTCAGGTTGGTTTTTCATTAACTGACGTGGAAAGTTTTCAATTATTTGTTTTAACTTTTTGATACACTTTCCACACGTTGGTTAAGGGATAACTGATGTGGAAAGTTTTTATTTTATATTTACCACGTTGGTTATTCATTTATAACTGACATGAAATTATTTTTAATGTCAGATGTATATGAAATTGACGTTAAAAGTCTTTTACTTATTTACCATCATGCCACCACCTTTTTTTTACTTTAGTTTATTACATAATTGACATTAAAAGGTGTTATGAAAGGGCTTTTTTGTAGTAGCAGAAGGTTGGCCATAATGCATGATGATCATGTCCTCTGCACCACATGTTATGGCACATATGTAATTGGTTATAGCAAATGTGCCAGAATTGGCCATTTTCACATATTTTGAATTTTAAATCATATTTTCTTATTCTAAGTGTTTACCCATACTTTCAATAGTTGATAAACTCTAATTTAAAGAGATTTTAACTTGTTTTAGATTTGAATTAAGATGAAATGTTACGATCTCATTATTTGATAATTTTTTTTACTTTTAAAGGGTACACTTTGAAACTTTAACATTATAGTTGATCAAAAATATGTAAATAAAACTCTTTTAATTATAGTAGACCTTTGAATTGAGGTCTTTCCTTTGTTTTTTACTACATTAGTCTTTATTAACCACGGTTAAACTTGTTTACCCTTAAGAGTGGTATTAAATGAAACTTATATATAAAGCCTTTAAAAATTCATGATAAAGAACAAATATTATCCTTAAACGATACATTTAAACTTGAGATGTAAGCATGATGCTTAGTGTTGTTTATTGGAAACACAAGTATTGTGATTACCTAGCAGAGAGAATGGTCATTGATTCATAGTTCGCAGTATAACCAAGTGAATTTCTTGTTACAATGTCATGATCCATCTCTAAAGCTGAACATTCTTGTAGTTCTTGCAATATGTGACTTATATCTGGCCTTTGCATTGCTGTTGCTGAGATACATGACATTGCTACTTCAAAAACTTCCATGCATGAGGTAATTCTAAATTCTCCAGCTAATCTTGGGTCAACAATGCCTTCAATTTCCCCACATTCAATTTTAGGTTGAACCCAATCAAGAATGAAATTACTACTTTCAACTCCTCTCTTTATTAGAGGATGTCCAGTTATCATTTAGAGAAGAATCATCCCAAAACTATAAATGTCACTTTTTTTATTTAGATTTCCAGATCTTTGAAATCTGCAAGAGAACAACTAATTAAGCTGAAATTTTAGTACAATAAACTAGGTTTCATATTATGTTATCTTGTGTAGCTTTATAGGAAATTTTCTTAAAATTTTTCATTGATATGATAGAACCACTTACTCAGGATCAATATAGCCTGGTGTACCAGCTGGTTGAGTTTATAGATGAGAATCTCCTTCATCTGTAAATGCTTTAGACAATCCAAAATCAGCAATCTTGGCTACTTTAAATTTGTCTAATAAAATGTTAGATGGCTTTAAGTCTAATATCTAATTATAGGAGTTTTACAACCATTATGAGATATTCCAACCCTGCAATTCTCTCCAGATCATTATATCAGAATAAGAAAAATATAATTAAGAATATAAATAAAAGAGTGTGGACTAGTATAATATATATTATAGTTTGTCACCTTTTGCTGCATCAACTGTGACTTGAAGTCTCTCATTCCACCTCAAAATATTTGGATTTTTTTCTAGAAACATAAATTTTTCTCAATAGGATGTTTTATGATAAAACAACATACATTCATGCATATAAATATTAAGTTATTCATAGTGATTGATCTATTACATTTAAGTGAAAAAACTAAATGATGCTTTGAGTTGAT